CCCCTGCAGAAACTGCCCCCCGACCCCCACCCCCAGCTCCCTGCCCTCCTTCCCACAAAAAGATACTCTATACATACTATCCTTCTGCTACCACCCCTGCCACCATCCTAAGGAGACGATGAGAGGACAGACATATGACAGATGGAAGTTACCTTGCCTAATGCAGTAGTGGAATGCACTTACTTGAAGGCATTTACAATGATAGGCAATATATAAGAACCTAGGTAGAATAAAATATAATAGAAGTATAAAACTAATTTTAAAAAATTGCCATAAGCACCTAGTCTTTGTAAATCCCCAGGGGGAAGAAAAACCTCAATAGATATCTTGACCATGTTCAAACCTAAACAGAAATTATCTGCAGTCAGCCAAACACAAAGGATCCAGGTGTTACAAGAACTTTCTAAAATCTGAGAGATTTGAAATAAAATAGTGCATTGTTTTTAATATCTGTGCACTTTTTGTTTGTTGGTTGCTAATTGATTGCCTCCCACACCATTACCTGTGTGCAAGGCAAAGTGACTGACTTTTGGTCTGTGACTGCCATTAACTTGCATGATGTGGCTACGTATCTGTCATGCTGTTACAGTTTGCACTCTTACCAGGCAGAGGAAAGGTGCTAAATTAGTATTGTGCATACAGTCTCCTTTGAGATAAATTACACCACTTTTGTAGATTGCTTGATGTTGAGTGGTCGGAAAAATACGTTACATTATGTTCTTATCTGAATCTATTTCCATGATAATGTGGAGCAGGGTGGCTATACCATCAAACTGGTTCACATTTCTTATTAGGCATTGCATGATTATTCTCTTTGGAATTTGTAAATGTTGTGTTGCATACAAAATTATCTTTTGTTTATGCTTTTGTTATAGAGATGATGATGACATCAATGATGTTGCCTCTATGGCTGGAGTCAACCTAAATGAAGAAAATGCCCGAATCATGGCAACCAATTCTGACTTGGTTGGAACACAGTTACAGTCTTGTAAAGATGAGCCCTTTCTTGCAGCTATCCCTTTACATAAGCGCATACTAGAAATGGGTGAGAAGTACATCATTTGTTTTTCATAGCAGTTCCTTTAGATCTGTTCATTTCAAGTTTTAAGTCTTGGTTCAGGCACAGTGTGCTGTAGCTTTCTGGACTGGTGTAATTAAGCTACTGTAAGTATTTCTTTTATGCAAGTAGTTTCATAATATCTTGTTTCAAATTGCAACAGAACAATTCTTACATTTAATACTTTGTTTCTCTTTTGCCTTCCATCCAAGGATCTCAGTGTCATGTGAACATTAATTAATTTTCCCAATGCCCCTTTCAGGTAGGGTATTATTCACATTTTACACATCAAGAAGCTAAGACACAGAGGTAAAGTAACTTTCAGGTCCAAGAGCATTTCTTTGAGTGAGTATAGTCCAGAACTCTTGCATTTTTCCTCTAGTGGCTGAGCAAAGGACTGAGATTGTCTGCCCAGATGTTTTCTTTAAAAAAATATAGATACACGTACCTATTTTTAATTTCTACAATGCCTTAAATTCCATGGAATTTATACCACAGTGGAGATAAAATTATTTATGCTACCAGTTGAAAAACAAATGCTATGAATTCATTCTTCAATTTAAAAAAAGTTAAAATTAGTAACACTGTAAAAGAATAAATAGAAAGGAAGTTTATTATACTGTACTCAGTATTTTTTCCTATTACTGTAACTGGGTGAGCTTGTAATGTTCACATAGGCCAGATCCTGTGATACCTATTAGGTTTTATGCAATCCTCTTCTACTTTTGCTATAATTCTTGAAAAACTGTTAATGCTCAATGTTTGTAATATTCTCTCATCTTAACCTTGAGACTGAAAGGATGGACAGGTGTTTATTTCCAACACACCTGGAATGATTGGAAGTCAGTTCTTTCCCTGTCTTCCTTTGAGAGGAGACCAGTTGCAGGAGACCAGCTCCCAGCGCTGTGCCCAGCTCCAGGGCAACCCTAAACTGTGCATGGGGCAAGAAGCAGAGGCCTTGGCAGCTAGAAATGTTCTGGAGCTGTAAGAGAGGTTTAGTTGTGGGAGAATGCCTCCAGTCAGTTGGTTGGCAGGACAGGACATTCCTCCATATTTCGACCCAAGGAGCTGGGTCGGTTCAGTGGCAGCAGGGTTGCCATAGAGCTCCCTGATCATCTTACCCTGGGTGGACTAATAGGGAGCAATGCTCTACCTCCCTCCCTTTTGGACGGTGGAAAAGTGGACTGTGGGATACTGGGGGTATCTCACTACAGGTATTCAGACTGGTGTGGGAAAAGAGTTCTTCCTTGCTGGAAGTGCTCTCAGTTTTGGTTTTTTTTGTGGAAGATCCAGTTCTCTCTTGCAGAAAAACCTCTTGAACTCTTTTTGTGCTGGGAGAAAAGCTTTTCTCCTGGCATAAATGTAATATGTATCCATAGCCTGAACAACAAAAAGTGGTAAAGGCTTGCCCACCTTTCACATTAATGTTTTTTTTTCAGGGAGAAGAGCAAGGTAGAATAGGATCCACCTAAATGCCCAATAAATGGAATAGGATCTCACTCATAGTATCTAAGAATGTCAGGAAAACTATGTTATTGTCCTTTAGTATTTGTAGAGGGACAAAATTCTCTTAAAAGCTGAAGTTCCATTTTCAAAACATGTTTGGCATTTATGAGCCTTAATCTTATTGTTTTGAATTTTTACAGGTTTTTAAGGATTCAGTCACCTGACTGTCTTAAAAAATTTGGGTCTTAGTCTTGCTAAAAATCAATTGGTTTTAGGGTTTGAAGTCGCACAGGTGCTTTTGAAAATGTAACCCTTGGTTTCATTCTCAGTAAATTCAAACTTTTTTACATAACCCCCTTAAGTCTTTATAGCATTGCAACCTATTTATATGTATGGTGAGCAGTCTTCTTATAGAGTTAGAGTTATAGTGGGAAACATAAATGCTGTGTAAATCCATAGTTATCTGATTGCAGTGTCATGATGATAATGCAATGGGAAAATATTAACACATATTCTCTGAATCTGGTGTTACCAACTTTCAGTACAAGTGTTTTGAAACAGTATCAATAGGAGTGCTATCCTGGTGTGTTACACAAAAATACCAAAAAAAAAAAAAAAGGAAATGAGAAGGTGCCATGTGTAAGCCTTAGCTATTTTTTCCTTGCATAACAGTTACTGTATGACACGTATGTGTAATTAAAAGTGTAGGACTTACAAGAATCTGTACATGCTTTGGGAACCATACACTGGTATTCATCTTGGCCTTTTGGGGTTTGCATCTTTGAGGAACAAATCACTATGGCTAGTTTGAAGCTTTACTGGCTTTTTGGAAAAGTTTTGTTTTCAGTGATAACTTCTAAGAACAGCTGCATGGATTTACATTTCACAAAGCAATGTATCCAAGTAACAGCCACTTCACGTGAGCTCCTGCAGCCACTTACAGAGTTTTATTTTGGCTTTATAGATAGACTTCTATATTTTTGAAACTGGTTGTGGGATTCACTTGTGGCTACTATGTAGGATTTACAGCTTTTAAGGAGAGAATTTCTGCAGCTGAGTTTGAAGCTTTTAGAAACTTTGTTTCCATTGTGTGTGGCCAGATTTTGTTGATCACACAGGAATGTATAAAATTAGTTTGTGCTACTGAGCACCTAAAATAATGACACTGAGTATTACAGAATTCAGTTTTACCATGTGTTGCTATGGCTAGGCACTTCAGGATGCAGACAAGGAGCCTATGACATTCTTAAGCACATTAGGAAAGGAGAGTCTCTGTTACACCCCTGTTATTCTACGTTTTTTGTTATGCCTGCTGATGAACAAGGTGAAATACATTGGATATAAGAGAAAGCAGTGTGTCTGAAAGATTTGCCATTGTAACTTATTTTCTGTCTTTGAACCCAGTCATATTTAGTAGTCAGCTAAGTTTTAAGGCACCTTTGTAATGTTTTAGTAAAAGAAAGGCTTGACGTATATACAGTATTAGGAAACTGTTATTCACTCTTTTCTCAGAAGCTGGTTCTTTCAAGTTTTCTGTAATATTAATCTCCTCTCCCTTTTCTGAGCAAGAGTTCTGTAGAGAAACTCAGTAGTTTTCCCCAAAGGCTGTTTCAGAGATTGTGCTTCCATTCACCAGAGTCAGAATATAAACTGCTAAAGTGAGAGCAGATGCTATTTAGTCTCTGGCAGTGACCAGCAGCCAAATGCCTCAAAGTTATAGAAAAGAGATTTCTTCTTAAAATATTGTACATTCTAATCTCTACAGTAAGTTGGCAGCATTATAGTTTGAAGTTTATTTTAAATATAAATAAATATTATTTTATTTTCCTTCTAGATGTAATGAGTGAAAGGTACATTAATGGAAAGACACTAGTCGACTTCCCACATGCCTTCCATCTCCAATTTCATGTCTTGTCATCTTTGGCTAGTAATTACTGCCCTTTATTCATGAAGGAAGACAAGGATTTTGGTTGTTTCCAACTGCCTTGATTCAAAGTCAAGAATGAATGTTTTTGCACGAG